TAATATAATTTTCTAATAAACAGAAATACTAGAGAGGAATGTGCCAAAATATTATCGAGTATTCCTCTGAGTGAAGATTTACATGTTCTTTTTACTCTCTATTTACTGCTTTTGTAATACTCAAATTTTTTTTCAATGAGCATACATTAACTTTTAGAATCTAAAAATAATTTTAGAAACATATTTTTGTTTTATGCATGCATTAGTACAATAGCTTATTTCTACACTTAGGAGGATACTGCTTTTGCATCTTTTTTTCATATATCATTTTATTTAATCCACACACCACCACCATGAAATTGGTAAAATCATTATTCCCATTTTATAGATAAGAAAACTGTGTCACAGAGGAATTAGGACATTCTACACAGAATTCCAACACATGAAGATTGGCATTAGAATCTGCTATAGTCACCTACCAAAAGGCTGCCACCCAGGCTGGCAACTTATATCCTGCCTTTTGGCAAATCCCAAGACTGGTTCATTACCTCTTTTTGAGAATGTGTAAACAGAAACACAACAATAAGCCTGTGCGACCCTGAGAAATTATTGATTTTCCTTATTTTGTATTGTATCCTGACAACTCAGAAGAAAACATGCAAAACATAACATATAAAAATTTTAGAATGCATTTTCTTTTTATTTTTTATTAATTTATTTTTTCCTCTAATACAGCCAATCCAGAATGCATCTTCAATAATGTCTCCAAACCAAGAAAACTCTAAGAGAAAATGGCCCCCTTAAGACAGGAGGCAATAGGCAAAAGAGAAGAAAAGATTGAAATGAGGACAGAAATGAAAAGAAAAATATGAGGAAGTCTAAGATATAAAAGGCAAGCTGGCGGCAATACAGAACACAATCGACTTGTGGAAAATTATACCCATGCTGTGAAAGACAAACATGATCACAACCAGTGCAATTTCAAAAGACAGATACAAAAATAAATATGGAAAAGGTGAAATATAGGGAACACAGATCACAGAGAAATTCAATAGTAAGGAACCGAACCAAAAATAAAAATAATAGAGGTAAATATTCACATGTGGACAAAAACCTGCTCCCAGGAGCAAAACTACACTGACTTCTAAGCAAAATAACTGAAAACAAACCCTATACCTATGCCCAAAAAAGTAATTTCCATTATTTTCCAAAACTCACGCAACTAACCAGACAGAAAATCAGGTTAACTACAAAGTAACACATATCAAATTAGCTCTAAGCCTCTCTTTCATAATATTAAACACCAGTAACCTATGAAACATCTACAGTTAGATAGAAAAAGTTTATGATCAGATAATTATATTCCCAGGCAAATTATTGTTCATCTAAAAAAGGCAAAAGAAAAATTTTAAGCTATGTGAAACCTCATAAAACATTGCACATGTATAACATTCTCACAAAAAACTATTCAAAGTACACATTCCAGCTAAGTGAATAAAAAAATCAAAATAAAGAACTCGAGAATATAATAGAGCAGGAAATGCCTAATTTCGTACAATAACCAACTTAATGCAAAAGGCTAAAAGCATTCTTGAAAAACATTAATCATACTTAATATCTTCACATTTTAATTTAAAATTAAAAAATAAGAAACATATAATATTAAATTAAAAATATAATATATTTTAAATCTATAGCATCAAATTAAATTAACAAACACTGGAAAGTACAGATAAAGCATTAAGTCAGGGCAGGGGAAATAAAGTTTCATTCTACCCTTTACTGTGCAGGGAGACATTAAAGAGTTTCTTTTTAAATTAATTTGTATAATTACAGAACTACAGGTTTAAGTATATATTCAACTTGGATTTTTGAAAACAGTCTATATAGAAAAACAAAGAAAATGCTTAAAAAAGTAGAATAAATAAAATGAAAAGAGATGAAACATACCATTTATGACTGTAAAACCAAATGGTTTAAACTCCTCCTTTAAAAGAAACCTCTTATATTGGGTTGAAAAAGTAAATCTTACTAGATATGCTGCTTTCAAATGATATAGCAAACACAAATCAAGATAAATTATAGAAATAAAGGGAAAATCATACATAATTGAGCAAACACAGAGTAAAACAAACAAAAATGCTTACAAAACCAAATGTAATTCCGAGGAAAAGTCATCACCTGAAACAGAGTGTTTATATTAATAAAAATCATAATCTACTATGTGTAACTGTTAAGACTTTTATGCAGCAAATATTGCAGCACACAGAACACACACACACACACACACACACACACATGCACACGCACACGCACATGCAAGCACATACACACAACAAAAACAAATTATACCAGCAGATTAAAAAGCTATCCTCATCTGATACATCCAAATAAAATTTAAAATAATTTTGTCAGGTCCTAAAACAAATTCCTGCTTAATATTTGTATTGGAACTCCATATTAATATGGGAATAATATTACTAAATTTTCCTATTCAGAAACATGGTATATTTTTGCATTAATTCAGGCCTTTAGTATGTCCCTTTTTAAGTTTTAATTTTTTCCTCATATAAGTCCTGCAGATTTCTTTTTTCGTTTTTGAGACCGAGTCTCGCTCTGCTGCCAAGGCTGGAATGCAGTGGCGATCAGCTCACTGCAACCTCCACCTGCCAGATTCAAGTGATATTCCTGCCTCAGCCGGGACTACTAACTCAATTACATTTGCAAAGACCTAATTTCCAAATTCTCCTGCCTCAGCTGGGATACAGGTGCATGCCACCACGCCTGGTTAATTTTTTGTATTTTTAGTAGAGATAGGGTTTCACTGTGTTAGCCAGGATGGTCTCGATCTCCTGACCTTGTGATCCATCCACCTCGGCCCCCCCAAGGTGCCGGGATTACAGGGGTAAGCCATCATGCCCAGCCGCAGATTTCTTATTAAATTTATTTCTAGATATTTTACACTTTTTGTTATTAAGAGTATCTTTTTATTATTTTTATTTTTTGAGGCAGAGTCTCCATGCCTGGCTAATTTTTTGTATTTTTAGTAGAGACAGGGTTTCACTGTGTAGCCCAGGCTAGAGTGAAGTGGCACAATCTTGGCGCACTGCAACCTCCACCTCCTGGGTTCAAGTGATTCTCATGCCTCAGCCTCCCAAGCAGCTGGGATTATAGGTGCCCACCATCATGCCCAGCTAATTTTTTTGTATTTTTAGTAGAGACAGGGTTTCACCATATTGGCCAGGCTGGTCTTGAACTCCTGACCTCAGGAGATCCACCCACCTCCACCTCCCGAAGTGCTGTAATTACAGGCGTGAGCCACTATGCCTAGCCAAGGATATCTTTTTTAAAAATATATTTTGTAATTTATTGTTTTCCTTGGCTAATAAAAATACTATTGATTGGGTATATTTATTTTGTATCCAGCCACATTGCTGAATTGTTATTGTTCTAATATATTTTTAATTGATTCTCTAAGGTTTCAAGGTATCATCTGTAAATGATGACAAGGTTGTCCCTGTCATTTTGTAGTTCTTTATTTTATTTTATTTATTTATTTATTTTGAGACAAGGTCTTGCTCTGTTGCCTAGGCTGGAATACAGTGACACCATCATAGTTCACTGCAGTCTCAAACTCCTTAGCTCAAACAATCTTCCTGCCTCAGCCTCCTGAGAAGCTAAGACTACAGGTGCACACCACTATATCTGGCTAATTTTTAAAAATTGTTTGTAGAGATAGGGTCTTGCTATGTTGCCCAGGCTGGTCTTGAACTCCCGGCCTCAAACCATGCTCCAACCTTGGCCTCCCAAAACATTGGGATGACAGGCACGAGCCACTGTGCCTGGCCCTTATCCTCTTATAATTCTTGTTTCTTCTACGTCTTGCCTTTATTCAGTGGCTAAAATTTCCATTACATTATATACTATTATTGGTTATTATCTGATTCCTGACACTTTGATATCGTCCCTCACTTTAAAAAGAACATATATTAATTAAGATGTTTGCAACTGCAAGTCAAAAAACACACAACTAAGAGTGGCTTAAACAATGTGGAAACTGTATTATCTATATAAAATGAAGTCTGGATTCAGGCCAGTTCCAGGGTTGATTAATTCAGTTGCTCAATAATGTAGGGACCTGATTTATCTTTTCTGTGATTCTCCTGGCTTTCCCCTCATGGTTGCCAGATGGCTGGAGTAAATCTAAGCATCACACCTTTAGATAATATCCAAGTCCAGGATAGGGAAAATATCATTTTACAAATTTACTTGTAAAAGAAAGGAAAGCCATCCCAGGAACCTCCAGTAAGGCTTCCTCTGGCCTTCTTATTGGACAGGTTGTGTTGAATGACTTGCTTAAGCCAATCATCCACAAAAATAATGAAATCTCAATGACTGACTTAATCTATTCCACCTCCCCAATGCTGGGGAAGTGGAGGTCAACTCTCTCTGAGAATGTGGAAGGAAAAACACCAAAACATATTCAGAGCTCTGTGAGCAAGAAAAAGGATGGGGATGGCCGATGGGTAGAGAACCAACAGCGTCCATCACAAAGAGCCTCTGTGGTTTAAAGGATAGGTATGCAGATGATGATTGGTTTTAGACACATTATCAGGTTAAGAAAGAATGTTCTTAATAGTTTTTTGTTTTGTTTTTTAATCAAAAATAACTGCTAAATTTTACCACATGCCTTTTTGACATCTGTTGAAATGATTCCATAGTTAATGTCCTTTGGTCTACTAATATGTTGTATTAACAGACTTCCTAAGACAGAAATAAGGGGGCTTAAATGGCATTTTTTGTGCTTTCAGTTCCCTACTGTTAATTAGCAATTTTTAGTTTTTCTCATACAAAGCAGGAAACACACATTATTGCTTATTAATAAGTAACACCTCATATACAAAATGTTTCCATATCCAAGGCCAGAAATTGAAGAGGGTGAAATGAATCAGAGGGTGACAGGCAAGACAGGCAGATGCAACATCTCAGACATGAAGTGATATGGTTTATTCTAGGGTGGGGCAGTAGGGTAGGACAGCATGGAAGGAACACAAAGCTTACTTCTAAGACACAACACATGCATACTTAATCTACGTCAATATTTTACATCAATGGCCTTCCCATCATATCACTGGGAATCACTGAGAATTGCTTTAAGTTATTTCAGCTCCATGAAACTCCCACTGCTGACCTTCCCACTATTTGGTCCACTTACCTCCATCTTTCCCCCCCACCCTCCACTCCCATACAGCTAGCCAACTATCCTGGTACTCTTACTAATGATTCTCTATCTATTTTTACATCTGTTTCAACCACTACACTTTGAACTTCTGGGAGGCAGCACCTAGTACCTTGTAAACCTACATATATCCAGTTGTTTGCACTGCACTAGATTCAGAGCAGGCTCTCAAATTATTTGTAAGAATGATGCTGATTTTGCATGTATCGAACATTTATTGTATATTTACAATATGGCAAGCAATGTCATAAATACTTCAAATAAAATGCATCTTTTTAATTCCAGCAATAATCCTATGTGTACTGTTTTTATTATCTCCATTTCACAGGTGTAGAAAAGCGTAGGGATTTTACATAATTTGTTAAAAGCTACAAAGCTAGTAAGCCATAGCACCAAGACTCAAAGCCAGGGAGTCCAACCTCTGATGTAATCTTAAGTCATTTTCCTTCCTGTGACTCTGAAAACAAATGAGATAAGCTACAAGCTCACAAATGAGCCCAAATTATTTCATGGTCACCTTTTATACAAGCTACTTTCTGTGGTGCTAAAAATGTTCTGGCTAAATGCTCTGCCAACATGTCATCTGGAGAATCGTAAGCAGACACCAAAGGCTATCATCAACCATGTACATGCCTTGATTTTCAAAAGACTGAGAACAGGTTGTAGATCTGAACATTTCAGCCCAAATCTGCATCAAACAGACAGCGTATCTACCTTGCCATCCCTGTCCCCGACCTCACACAGAGTGGGTGCATTTGTCCCCTTGGATCATTTGGCCAGGCTGTCAAAAACCTTAACACCCCTCAGAAAGAATGAAATCAAGCACAGCTGCATCTGTGCCAGTTCCTCTTTTTATTTTTTTTTTATTACTGCTTCCAAAGAGTATAAAAGCTTGGAATCTATTAAGTCTTTTTTTATAGCTGGAATGTCTACTCATTATTACCTGAGAAAAAAAGAGTCAAGTTAATACCCTTGATTTCAAAGGTTCTATCCAGTGAAGCCATAGTTCATTGCAGTCATATCAGCTGATTACTGTAAAGTGCAAAAGTCTGCATTTGCAAAGGAAACAAAGTACCCAAGCTTAGTAGGAGGTACCCAGTAGAGAACATGGGAGATATCAGGATAGAATTTGTTGCCAAACTGCATTTTGCAGACCTGACCACCCCTTCCATTTTGCTCTGTTCCAGGAATGCCATTTAACTGTCATGATCTTATCACCTTATAGCTGTAGGATAACCACAAGAGCCAGTGAGCACTCACTAAAGCTAATCAATATTTAGAAACTAAAAATGAAACAAAGAAACAGACAAATGCCAGCACAGGCAGAAGTAGGAGGCTTTTACCCTGTGCCTCCAAGGCCTATTTATTTCTAAGCTAATACATGCAACTGCTTCTGGGATTTATGGCTGCATGATATATTCAAAGCCCATAGCCTCTGAAGAACAGCTCATCCTCTCCTTTAGTATCAGACCGGACAAGCCAGAGGCAGGCCTTTCTCCGCCAACAGTCAGGGAGATGAGAGTAAATCCGCCACCATGTTGGTTCCATCATTCCCAGTTCCTATCAGGTAACTGCAATCCACCTATCATCTGTCACCCACACCAAGGCCATGTTTGAACTTCTTCTGATGTCCTGTGTTAGAAACACTATCACTCACATGCTTCTATAAAGCAAAATTAGCTTTCTCCAGATAGCTTAGTTAAAGAAAAATCTGAGTGCCTGCAATGTGCCAATAATGACAGGTGCTGAGGAAATCTGGGGAGTTGATAACCAGTTAATCAGCTAGCTAGCTATCCACACCATGAAGCAGCAAAATGTCCTTTCCCATGCTTTCCGGATGGCCACTGGGGAAGCTGCCCCATAGGCAGTGCCTTTTAAAATCCATACAACAGACATGGGAATATAACTGCCGCACCTACACAGTGACTTGCTGCCCATAAAAATTCACCTGTGTCTCATTCACTGAGACTATACTTATAAAGAGGTTTATAGTCTGTTGTCTTAATGAGCCACTCTGAAGCCTAAAGGGGAGATACAAGAGCAACGAACAGAAGCCATTTCAGCATCTCAGGGCGCTCCCAGCTTCTTCCCCTTGCAGTTCGTAGCACCTAGAAGGTTTCTAACAATGTCAGCACCAAGACCCACAGCTGCCTAGGACACAGGTCCTTCCATTTCCCAGGGCCCTACACTTTGTTAAGGTTTGGTTTCCCAGAATCACAGTCCCTCATCTTAAAGGCTAAAAACACACGAAGTTGTATTTTCACAATCGCATTGCAAGTCCCCTGTCCATTCAGTCATAGTGGGGATGCATGATCCAAACAGGATGACTCCCAGAAGACACGTCCTGGTGAATGGCATGTTAGGCACACTGCAGAACACAAACGTAAGCAAGTCCCTTGAGAAAGTGTCTGAAGTTCCTGCCCTTAAGAAGCTTATAATTTAAATAAACCAATGGCTTTTGAACAAATCATTCTAAAGCAGAACAGGGATGCAGGTGATATAGACTGTGAACAGAGCAAGACAGAAAAACAAAAGTAGAGATTAATGTTAACCAGGGGATCGAGATGATGAACTAACCCTAACTGATATGTTTTTCATAAGAAAGTGTCTTAGTAACAGGGGTTTTGTGGCTTGATCAGTTTAACAAAAGGCAGATTGTGTGGGTTTCCTGCCCTGTGCAACCACTCGTGGCAGGATCAGAATTCGGACTTCACGCTCCAGGTTCAATTCTAGCCTCATTCCAACTCTGTCAAGCACATTTCCAATCAAAGTTTCAGAGTCCTGAGTCCCAAGTCCGTCCAAAATCAAAAGTACACTTCTCCAGAGGGCAGGCAGTAGTTCTATCATTAGAAAAGTATTTCCACTATGTATTTAGAGAATGGGAAGTAGCAATAGCACAATGCTTACATTTTATGTTTTAAAATCAGACCAAAGTAGGTTCAAAAACAGGCTCCATCATTTTCAATGAATCACTTAAGCCTCATTTTCCACATCTATAAAATTAGAATAGTATATATCACAAAATATGGCTGCATTAATAACACCAGACTTTTATTAAAGTAATTAACACAGCGCTTGACACATGGCAAGTGGTCACAAAGGATATTAGCTATTAATATTGGTATTACATTTTGTTCTTTCTCTTCTCCCACTGCTTCAACCGACTAGCCTAAATGTATGTGTGTATATTACTATTCTTATTATATAAATTATGCTCCAGATCAGTGTCAAGTACATGCAGATGCTGGTGTGACCTGAGACTCAGTACCCTGGCCACACTGCAGCGTAGTTCTTGGAACTGCGAAGCTTAGGACCAAATCCTGGACCACAAATTTTTCACTGAAAGTCCTGCCCTAACCAAGACCAGCATGTGCCACTGGCTTGTGCCACCCACCCACCAGGACCTCACTCAACACCTTGCACACGCAGCCCTCAGAAGCTCAGCATGTGCTCAGTCTCCACTAGTTTCATAAACATGCTACTCTTGTCTCTGTGCTGCTCCAGGGGAAGGGACATACTCTCCCCATTAGTCAACCTCACCGTGGTACACAGTAGAAGCCTGCACAGTTTTCCTATGCGTAATATGACAGTGTCCATGATTGTTCTCTGCCCCTGTTTTTAAGATATCTAAGACCATGCCAGGCTGGGCAAATGACTACAATGGTCACTGGAGCTAAGCCTCCACTCAGTTCTGCAGGCTTTTAAGCCTCTTCCTTTCTCCACATTTCCTAGAGGGTATTCTCAAGACCATGGTGGCCACCTCAGTTTCCAGCAACTTGTTTCTTCTTGATTACTGCCCTTTTCCTTCCCTCACGGCATAGCAATGGTAAGTAATAGTAATGGTACACTTAGGAATATTTTTCTACCCTATTCTATTTTTTTTTTCAAAATCTGATTGCAATCCATTGAACTCACTCCACAATTCATTAGAATTTGAAAAATACCTGGTACCTGTGATTCCAGGAAGATGAGATGCTAAAAGGAGCTCTGATCATTTGAGGAAAGGAATTCCCCAACTTTGTGGGAACAAAACAATTCAGCTCTGGGGTGGCAGTGGAGGAAATATAGTGTACAGAGGGGCAGTGGGGTGATAGCTAGTGATACTGTAGAAAAGTAGGGAAGGGTTCAATCATAGAAGACCTTGCTAAGTTAAGGAGTTTAGCCTATGCTGTAAGTAATGAGCAGGCATTCATTAATAAGGGCGCGGCGGTTCACGCCTGTAATCCCAGCAATTTGGGAGGCCGAGGTGGGTGGATCAGAAGGTCAGGAGTTCGAGACCAGCCTGGCCAAAACGTTGAAACCCCATCTCTACTAAAAATACAAAAATTAGCTGGGCGCGGTGTCACGTGCCTGTAATCCCAGCTACTCAGGAGACTGAGGCAGGAGAATGGTTTGAACCTGGGAGGTGGAGGTTGCAGTGAGCTGAGACCGCGCCATTGTACTCCAGCCCGGGTGACAGAGCGAGACTCCGTCTCAAAAAAAAAAAAAAAAAAAAAAACGAGGATACACAAAACTTAGCTTGCCTTTGTGGAGCTTATAGTCTCTTCTGCGGAAAGAGGGTGTGGAAGGAGACAACCAAATAATTTGTTAACAAATGGCACATTATGATAGAGGCTGGGGAAGAGTTCCAGACAGCAGGAACGGCACACATAACAGCAGAGAGGTGAGAAAAACATGGAACAGTGAGAAAACAGAAAGAGTGGTAAGGAATGGCTTTAGACAGGAATAGCTCTCCCAGTCCTGGCTCCAAAGTTCTTTCTCTACAAGAGGAATTAAGTCATTTAGGCTACCTTATTTTGAAGGAAATTATTATCATTAAGTTTGTAAAACATGACAGGCCCTTCAGAATAAAGAATGATACAAAAATACGCAGAAAGTAGAAGATAGGATCAGAGAACCTAACTATCTCTCCAGGTGTTGAAGAGATGGCCTTCCTAGAAATACCACTGAGACCTGACTAGGGAATTTGCCTTCATGGTGTGTGGAGTTGGTCAACCATGAAGAAGTGTCTCAGGCATATTATACTTTAACATCACTATTGAGGTACTTACACGCCACAAAATTCACTCATGTTACCACCATCCAAAATTGAAACATTTCTATCACCCAAAAAGATCCCTCAGGCCCATTTACAGTCACTCCCTGTTTTCCTCTCCACCCTAGCCAACCAGTAATCTACTTTCTGTCTCTATACATTTGCATTTTCTGGACATTTCATATATATGGAATCATACAATACGCAATCTTTGTGTCTGGCTTCTTTCACTTAGCATAACATTTTGAGGTTCATGCATGCTGCAGCCTGATTCAGTACTTTGTTCATTTTTATTGCCTAATAGTATTCTATTGTATGGAAACACCATGCTTTGTTTAGCTGTTCATCAGTTGATAGACATTGGGGTGGTTTCCACTTTTGGGCCATTATGAATAATGCTCCTTATGCGCACTCCTGTACAGGTTTTGTGTGGACATATGATTTCATTTCTCTTGGGTACATATGCGGAAGTGGAATTGCTAGGTCATATAGTAAGTTTAATTTTTTCAGAAATAGCCAAACTGTTTTCCAAAGTGGCTGAGTTATTTCACAGTCCCACCAGCAATGTGTGAGAGTTCCAGTTTATGCAGATTCTTAGGTATATTTTTAAATTCAGATTTACATGTATTGTGGATGAAGCATCGTCTGGATGAAGTCTCGACTCGCAGTCTGTGAAGCGTGGAGTTCACATGACCTCATAACTTATTCCAAATTTCACTTACATTTATTTAAAGAATTATGAGAGCTGTCCATTTGAAAACATCGTTGAAATAATTCAGTATAAAAATGCAATACTAAACAACCAAGTAAACATAATGGTCATAGAAAATTTAACCAAAATATTTGTCAAAGGGGAATTATTAAGAAACCACACAAATCAAAAATATATATATATATATATCCCTTGCACACTAAACAAAGTCTCCACAGGGACAAAATCCTAATTTTGAATCCTGCAAACCAGCAGCGACTTACAGAAGGCGGCAACCACATGGAGAAAACAGGAAAGAAGGTCAGGTCAGGGGATTATTTCTTTAAATCTGATGTAACTTGCATTGTATCAAGTAATGAGGTACAGGAGACCTTGCTTCCAGAAAAGAAAAGAAACAGACCCGGCCTCAAAGGGACAGAGAACTTAATAGTCACAGGAATGTCCCAGCTGCTTTGAATACCCTCAGGTACCCTATGCAAACACACACACTAATAAAGGGGTTGGGGGGCAGAACTGGCAAGAGCTTTGGTTCAGAGACCCAGAGAGACACCAGCCTTCCAACTCCTTCAACAGGCTCTTTCAGTCTGGAAGGCAAACCCTGTGTCTGGGGCTCAGATCTCTGTATCTCTCTAAGATGTTGAAATATCATACATATTTCACTGAGCGTCTATGATTTCTTCTCTCCTGTGGAGGGACCCTTTTCGTTTCTAGCGATGAGGACCTATGATAATTACCCACTGGCACTTTTTCTGGTGCAATCAGTTAAATGGAGGTTTAGGTACCCAGCTGGTTAGGTTCCAGCAGATTTCCCATGCTAATTTTCAGTCACTCAAAGAAAACAAAGGAATGACTTAGATTGAGTTACCATGATTTTAAAGCAACACTGTTCCTCCTACCCTTCCCCTCCCAAATGTGTAAACTTTTATATTTCACACTTTTACATCTGTTCTTCTCCCAAAATAAAAGCTGTTTATATTCAAGAAATGATGGCTACAATACCAGCACAAGTTACATCTTTAAAATACTCCCAGAGAGAATAGACATATTGTTCAAACCACGGAGTGTCTGTGCAACGTTCCTTCCCTGAATAGCATCTGGGCTCTAGAAAGTACTACAGTGCTTTATTTGTTTATTTGTTTGCATGAAAAAAAAAAAAAAAAAAAAAAACAGTACTCTCTAACTGGTGCTGGAGCTGCCAATTTAAAGAAGACAGAAGAGGCAGAGGCCTTTTAGGAAGAGCAAATGCTTAGCTTTGACTCCATTAACTGTTCCAGAGTAAGACACAGCACAAGAACCAGTTGGCTCCACTGCTACCCGAAAAATTCGACTTCAACCGAAAAATCGCAGCACTCCCAAACTCAAAGGACCCTTTCAACCACGCAAATTGCAACATATATTATTATCTCAAGTGTTAGAGGAATCAGAGGAACAGGCTGTGAAAAAGCCATTTCAAATTTGTAGCTTTCTTAGACAGAGTCTATGATTTCACCACCACTAGAAAGGAAACGGCTCCAAACTTAGTTCCAGACAGAAGTTTTCAAATGATGTCATTCATTGCCCCATCTAGAGCAGTTAACATTTCTGATTTATTAAGGCT